TAATTTTGAAAGCAAAAATCCATGCATTTTCCAGAATCTTGGATCTACTTAGTCTAAATTGGAAAATGAGGTATGTCACGTGGCATCTGGTGCTAGAAATGACTGTCATTATCTGAGCAGTTTTGCCTTTTGACTGAGAACAGGTAAGGGCTAACTTAGAGCTGTGAGGGAACCAGGTGCGTGCGGGAGCGGGTGCCTGGAGCCCAGCGAGCCTCGTGGAGGTGTTTCGCAGGGGTGCTGGAAGCAGCCGGCGAGGTACCAGCCTGCAGCGAGCAGGTGCTTGTGCTGGGGAGCGACGTGATTGTCTGTGTGCCTGCTGGCAGACGCTGGCTGCCCGTCTCCGCGCGTCACGCAGCGGGGACACGGTGCCAGCGGTGTGTGACGTGGCACACCAGGAGCCTGGGGCCTGGGCTGCGGGGGTTACGTGGGAGCGTGGCTGCAGCCAGCGTGCCCCCCATCAGACTCCCCGCTGGGTCTGCTCCGTGGCCAGTCCTGGACTCCAAAACCATGCCGGGAGCCTGTTGGTCACCAAGTGCCCGTGCCAGGTGTGTTTCTGACAGCTGACCAGTGTCAGTGACGGGGTTGTGTAGCCTTGGGGTGTCCCCTGGCTCCGTTGCCATCGCTAGGCTCGCTGGGCACAGGAGGGTGGACAGTGCAGCCAGTGCTGCCGTACGGCTGCTGCAGGGCGAGAGGTTGTCCAAGACAGGTGAATTCCGCAAGAAAGTGCATGCCTTTTCTGAAAGAAGGCAGCAAGCAAGAATTCAGCAGTCCAGCCTTTCACAAGTTTTGCATTTTTGAGTGTCTTCATATTTCTGTGACAGGACAGAAGATAGATAACAACTCTTCAGTTAATACTGTGTGCTAAAGTCCCTCATTCCAAGTGCTATTTTGCTCTCCCTTTTGTTAGAACACCTCTGTTAAACGTCTGGCTTTTGGGTTTGATTGTTACGCCCCCATAGTACAGTTTTCAGCGTTTAATAAGTGGCTTCATGGTTCCCTTGTAAATAACCAAATTACTGTATTCTGTACCAGAACCAGGAGTAAACGTGTTCTGATAGTAACAGCTGTGGAGAAGCCTGGCTGCACAGCAATGGAACAGCGAGAGCAAAACTGTTTCTTAAATAACTGTTAAAAAATATTGTTGTAAGTAATTAATAGTTTTCCTGACAAAACATACTGGAGTTAAAAATGGAGAAGAGAAGGTGATGGATCAGTATTAATTTTTTTAAAAGTGCTATTTCTTTTACCCATCAAGAAAAATTGTCTCTGTTTAAATGAACTGCACTGCTTTTCTTTCATGACAGTGCTAGGCTTGTGAGCTCACAACTCCAGCAATCACCAACCACTCAGGAAAATTAGCTTTTGAATTTACAGCAGCTCTTCATTTGGCTGTCTTGGCTGCAATTTTTAGAAGTAATTTGTACTATGTTTATGTGTTTCTCACATTCTCAATAAGCAATGGGAGGTTTGAGACAAAATATAAATCTGTAACTTTATTTTAAGGATTTCTTTGTGTTCTTCTTGTATTATTACTTCTTTTATCATTCTCATACATATAGAAGTAATTTTAAGTCGTAAGAACCCCCGAGTATCACATTCTGCCACTTTGGCGTTGTAACAAATATTACTTCAGTGAAGAAATGTTCCTCTTCATTTCAAAGGGACCACTCACTGAAGTAGTTGCTAGTAGGCGTGGATAAGAACAGCAGTCGCTGGCTGGCAACCGTTGACTTGCACACAACTCCTTGAATGGGTAGATGCTCACCGACACGACTGAGGAGTGCAAAGACAACTCCATAGCTCCTGTCTGTACTACAATTTGCTGTGCACCTTTATATGCTGTCTCTTACAGCTATATGGTGAAACTGGAAGGCCAGCGTACTCGTTAGGTGATTCGAGCTATCTCTATGAGTGGAAAATGTTGGTTTGGGGATTGTAGATCATCAATAAGTTGCTCATGTGTGAAATGAAAAGCCACCTTGAGGTCAGCTTCTAGTAAATTCATCCTGAGCTCAGGCAATTTGGAAACACCTGGCTAAGCCCACTAATTACTTGATTGACTGCTATGACTTGAAAAACAAGATAGAGGTATCAGACAATAATGACTTAATCTGAACTTTTAAACACTGCTGCTTTTTCAGATAAAGAGATCAGGGTCTGGAGCAAATGCAGCTGCCACAGGGCAGCGCAGCCCACTGATCTGCAGTGATAATAGTTCTCTACAAGGAGCCCACAGCCTTCTGGATCGGCTGAGTTGCATGCCAAGATCTTTAGACAACCAGATTCGTGAGACATGACTCGCCATACTGGAGAGCCAAGGGATAGCGGATGTTGAAGGGTGATGCAGCCAACAGTGCTTTCATAGGGTTTTTGCCTCCTTACAACAGGATGGAGCAGGGGGGGTGCAGGAGGTTCCCAAGATCAGCCGGCACCATCAGCCTCAGTCCCTTTCCTCCCCACGCTGAAGGTTCCAATTATACAGCAATCACTGTGGCAGTGCTGGCTCACCTCTCATTATGTCATCTAAGAGCCACGAGCTAATGAGAGATTAGAAGAATGTACAAGAAAACGTTTGAAAGCTGTGATTCTTCTGATTTTTATGTTGTACTTTTTGCTGATTCATTGGGACCTCGTATTTCCAAATGCTTGATATTGCTTTGACCCATGTGCCCAGTGCTATGGGCTTATATGGCTGTAACTCCTTACTTGCCCAATATAAATTTTTTTGAGGAAGTCACCAATGCTGTGTCTCCTGTTGATACTATTGACATTGTACTGTTGTTTGCCTAACATAAACTAAAGAGTCCATTTTTCAAGTGGGTTCATGATGCCTTACAAATTTTTTAGGTAATGCAGATATGGATTTTGTACAGGCGAAAGGGATATATGAACTGTGTGGGTGTAATTTTGGTAATCTATACCTGGGCATTTCTAAAATACATATTGTGAAGGAGCAATTAATGAGTAGTAAATAACAAAAAGATTCCAGATTCTTAACTGAAACCCTGGTCCATGTCCTCTATCAATTAAGGACACTGTTCTGTCAGTTTTCAGGGGAATTTTTTAATCTGTTGCAGCTATTAACCATAACTTAGTACTGTTTTACATTAACCTATCATCTAGGACATTTCAGAGGGTTCCCCTTGTGACTTTGCGTGAGAGGTGTACATTAAATCATGGAATCATAGAAAGTTTTGGGTTGGAAGAGACCCCTAGAGGTCATCTAGTCCAACCCCCCTGCAGCGAGGAGGGACACCACTAACTAGATCAGGTTGCTCAGAGCCCTGTCCAACCTGGTCTTGAATGTTTCCAGGGATGGGGCCTCCACTACCTCTCTGGGAAACCTGTTCCAGTGTTTCACAACCCTCATTGTAAAGACTTTCTTCCTTATATCCCGCTGCAATCAGGTCTCCCCGCAGCCTTCTCTTCTCCAGGCTGAACAAGCCCAACTCTCTCAGCCTGTCCTCATAGGAGAGGTACTCCAGCCCTCGGATCATTTTTGTAGCCCTCCTTTGGACCCGCTCCAACAGTTCCATGTCCTTCTTGTGCTGAGGGCTCCAGAGCTGAATGCAGTACTCCAGGTGAGGTCTCACCAGAGCAGAGTAGAGGGGCAGAATCACCTCTCTCGACCTGCTGGCCACGCTTCTCCTGATGCAGCCCAGGACGTGGTTGGCCCTCTGGGCTGCCAGTGCACATTGCCGGCTCATGTCGATAGAGTCCATGTTAGGTTCACCTTATATCCTGCAGATACCCACTCATCCAGACTCAAGGTGCAGAGTCCTCAAAGCCACAAAACCCTCTAATCTGAAGGAGGAAGGAGTGACAGCATGTCTCCCTCATCTGATGGCATTGGGGCTAATGAGCCCAAGGGGAGCGCCTTGCCAGGCATACACAGGGTTTCTCTTCCAGGACTCATTTCATCTCTCCTTGCTTACAGCACTACATATTTCAGACATGCCCTCAAAAGAAGCCGGTGCTGTCTCAAGAGTGTGTGCTAACACAGAGAGTGTCTCTTGACCGAGGCGCATACCAGTGCTCGGCCTTTCCGAGTCCTGTTACTCTCCTCAGAGCCAATTGGGCAGTAAGCTTGCGAGCCCTACAGTTGCTGATAGAGCTGCAGCTGTAGTCATCCTTGAAGACAGAGTGAACACGGCTAGCAGGGGCTCAGCATGCCCAACCTGTGCAGCCTCTTGCCCCGAGCCCTCCGTGCCACCACCACTTGTGCTAGAGCAGTGCTCGAGCGTCGCGCCATCCGCAGTTCTGTTGGTAAAGAATTAATAATGCTGAATGAGCGAAGCAGCTTGGGAGGTAGAATGAGGTCTGAATTGGTGGCTGGTAGGCTAACAAAGGCAGTGCGCTGTCTGCGCTGTGGCTGGGACATGTACTGAGCTCTGCTGTGCTCTGCCGTGCCCCCTCCAAGAGTGAGGGGCTGGCTGGGAGCCCCAGCAAGGGCAGGGGCCAAGCCAGCACACCCCAGCCCTTCCAGAGGTACCAGTCCTATGAATCTCTGACTTTGTTTTGGCAGAAATTATCATAAGCTATTTGGGATGATAAAAGCTTTCTGAGAGTTCACGGGCTAGTTACTAACTTACTGCAATGTCTTTATCTGTATGTGTGAACTGCTACCACTGTAGTAAAGCTCTAGAGATTGATGTGAGCCAACAGGGACGTGGCTTTTTGCCATGCTCAGTGTCGACACCACTGCTGTTTTATTAAATAAGTTGATTTAGAAGAAATCACCACTGATTTTAATAACTCTTACAGCTGACCTAATTTTCTCTAGAAAGATTTAAGCTTTTCTAGCAGACTTGATGGTATGTCAACTCAGCATCAAGAATTTCTGCCTTTTTTCTGGTGCGTGACTGGCATCCTGCCACACTGATGTAAAGTGAATTACAGCAGGGGGAAACATCATTTAAGAATACTAGAAAAATTAGTGTAATTGTTTTACTTAATGAATTATATTGAAAACATTACTCAATCTGTTTTTCTCTTCTCAGTTAGTAGCCTCCATCGTATTTATCAGCTTTGGCGTGGTAGCAGCGTTCTGCTGTGCAATAGTTGATGGAGTGTTTGCAGCACGACACATAGTAAGTACAGTGATTTTCTGTCATCTTTCATTTTTGATTACTTATGTCATTTCTAGAAGGAAAGCATTTTCTTTTAGTTTATGTCTAGCAGTATATTAGGTTTTTTGATCGTTCTCCTTGTTGAAGAAATGTCTTTTGGCAAAAAATTGACAGGAAAGCCCATCATGCCAGTACCCAGAGATGGTGCCAACTGCTTATTCATCTCTCAGGGAGTTCCAAATACAGAGGTGATGTAAAATGATGTAATGACAGGCACGCTAAAATACATACCTGCTTAGGAAAGGGAAGACGCTTCAGCCACCGCCAGCATTTGTTTCATTTTGCAAAAAGGCTTAGTGGGCACAGTCAGGATTTGGAATGCACCAGGCGGTGATGAGCACCACAAGTCCCCATGGGATCGGTAGGGGGAAGTGGATTGCAACAGCCCAAAGGGAACATTTAGTTGGAGCAAAGACAGCAGAAGAAGTGGCAGGCTTTGGTTAGAGGTGGTGTGAAAGGGGAACCTACTGAGTGACAAACAACCCCAAATTCACCATCTGCCTGCCATCAAAGGGTGGGTCATTTAACCAGAGCGACTAGTATTTCCAGTGTGTCTTCAAAATGCAGTCCTCCTCCATCTCCCAAACGTATTGCCATCTCTGCCTCAAAAGGACATTTATAGGCATTCGTTGTACTGCAGTTGCAGTAGTATTACTAGTAGGGCATTACTGTCTATGAGTGCGTAGGAGTCTTTCTCACGACCTTCTTGTGTAAGCACTAGACAAACTTAGAACAAAGTTTCTTTATTTTGGCTCATGGAATTCAAATGAAAATATTAGACAAAAAGGATCAATAGAAGAACAAGAGAGACGGGGTTGTGGGGTCATATGAATATGCCAGCTTGCATGTTAGATATATGTTGTTTGCTGTTCTGTCTTTTGTGATAGAATACCTAAAAATCAATGTAATCTTTTAAAAAAACTTTGATTTGCAGAAGCATCAGGAAATAATTAGTTATGTGTTTTAACAGACAGTAGAACTCAAATGTAGTGTGCTACATAATACAGCAAGTATAACGGTATATGATCCCCTCACTGCTATGAAATATCATGGGCCTGTTCATCTTGCTGCTTCTGTTCATTGAGGGGCAGCATAACACCACTGGCATCAGTAGAACTCTACCTCGTGTTCTGTTAGCAAGTGCATCAGAATGATTAGGCTTTGGATCACTTGGAGCACAAAGCTGTAAACTGGTTTCTTTTCTACTGTTGTTGAAGAGGACTTTAAACCAAACGTGGGCTTCAGAACCTCATGTGCATTGCACAAGGAAGGAGACATCTACTGGTATAAACAACCGAGTTGTGCAATTTGAGCATGAATAAACACTCCGGATTGTAATCATGTTTTGTCCTAACCAGACCCTGCCAAATGCTGAAGCAGCCTGCTTTTACTCGGATTCGCCTTGCTGTTGCTCTGGGTGACACCTGGTATAATGTTGTCTCTGATTAGTGTAAGCCCGGGAAGCCTCTCCAAGCCTTCTCTGCTTGAAAGAGGAGGGGAGCAGATTCCTGTTTAGGTTTCCTGCTCCCGAAAGTTCAGTAGTTGTGCCCCAGAAAATGATTACCACTTATTCAAATATTGGACCGGTCTCCTGATTTCCCAGGAACCAGACTTATTTTTGTCCTGCTTCGATGTGATCGTTAGGGAGTGTTCAGAGGACACTCGTACAGCCTGACACCTTGTAACTGCAATGCAGCCGCGCAGCCGCAGCCCGCCACTGCTGAGGCCGGGCACGGTGTCACCTCCCCTGAGGCGAGCTGCTGTGTCAAAGTACAGTGTGTGTGTGCTCCATCTCAAACACAGAAACAGGCATCACCCCTGTCATCTTTCTGGGTGTTTCCTTTGTCAGTTTGCACTCTTTTGGCTTTAAGTTCCTTTCGCATACGTTACTTCACTGTTCTAGAAACGACACTGCCTCCTATCTAAATGAAACAGCAATATCATATTCAGGTATTGTTGTATCCTTCCATCTGAAGAAACAGCATCTCATACGTAATATGGAGAGTTTATATTCACCTCCTCTTTATTGTAGCATAAATAGCTGTGTGGCACTGCTTGCTGTCATGGCATGCCCTTGGTGCGTCATTATGAACTAAAAGTGATTCAGTTCATTGCAGTGCTCTCTGAGCAGAAAGTGGGCCAGCGAGTTGTTGCAGGAGAGCACCAAGGCACAAAGTCATTGCACTCACCCAAGAAGAAATCATCTTATGATCTTGAGTGCAGTTCTGTACCCGGTTAAGTCTGGGACTGGGTATGCCTGCATCACCTGTGCAGGGCTGGAGCCTGGAAGGGGCTGGTCACCCCCCAGCCCTCCCACTGAGTGCTGGAGATGTACAGCCCAATGGCACGAACCTGCCTCAGTCATGGCGTGGCATGCTTCATGGAAATCCATTTCCAGCTGTTTACGCTTTGTTATTCGTATCTGTCTCTCCTGATCTCCTTCACATATTACAGAACAAAGAAATATTTAGTAGCACTGTTTGTTGGAAAACTAATTTGCCTGATAACATGGTCACACTCACTTCATCTCATTCACCTGCTCTGTGTATTAAGGAGCTTACTAGGATCAGGTAAAATAAAGGTGTGCTTCACCTAATTTCTCTTAACACTCCTAGGGATATCTGTAGGGGTGGTAGTGTGAGTACACTTGCAATTTGATTTACGGGAACCTTATCAAAAGCAGGTGTGTCATGCAGACTATGGTATCCTTGCCACTGCGTTATGTCCCCTTTGTGTCACAGCTAATTTCCTTCAGGGAGAGCAGTAACACCACCTTTGGTCCATTCCCCACACGCCAGTATCAGCCATTTTCAGACCTGTGTTGTGCTGTTGCTGCTTTGACCACTGCCTTTTGGGGATAACTGCTGGAGAATCAGACTAATCTGTCCTCCGTTCAGACTAAGGACAAACTCCTGGCATGTCAGAGCAGGTGCCCAGGTCTACACTAAAGCCATTAATTTTTCATGAGGAGGATTTGGGCAGCGTTCACTTTTCTGTCTCTGGTATGAGGGTGCTGATAACAAGGCTCCAGGTCCCTTTTCTCCTGGAGGGAGAAGTACTAGGTGAAACCAAGCAGGCTTCAGACCGACAGACAAAAATACAACATCCTTCACATCAATTTGGAATAAGAAATAATTTCCGGTTTTTCATTTTATTTTTAACCTCTTTTGAGTTGGGAGGGATGTGAAGAGGACAAATCACATTATTACACATTTTTCTTAGCGCGTGCCTGCTGTGGAATGAAGAAGATTACCTGCTCTTGTAAAACTGTGGATAGAATAATATAATACTATCTCTGTTTTATTTTCTTTCCAGGAAGGCATAAAATTGATAAAAATTCTTCCAGGAAAGGGATGTATTTCAGAAAAGAGATACTTAAATTTTTTAAGACTCATTTTAAAACACATTGCTTAATAGAAAGCTCTGGAGCACAGCACTTACTTATAAAGTTAAGAACACTGAAGGAAAAGTAGCTCGATTTAAAATAGCAGTAGCTTATTTAAAAAATAATGCAGATGTAATTTCCTATGTAAAGTTGATTTCACCATTGGTCCCTACAGCTGCACTTTTCACCTAAATAAAAGAAAAAGCCAGAATCAAATTAATCAAATCAAAGCTGGAATTAACGTGCAGTGATGTTGTTTCAGAAAAGTATAGTGATCACAGGAATCTCTTATCTGCATTCATGTTTGCTTGAGACATTTTGTTATTTAGCAGATGAGAATAGCCCAGCTGTGCAACAGCTAATGCAGATCATTCAACAGCCTCCTCTCACCACACAGGGAGACCCCCTGTCCCACCCCACGTACACATTCTCTGCAGTGCCTGCTGCCCTCCTACTCATGACTGCAAGCCTTGACCATCACCACATGATCCTTAGCTTTGCAGTTAGCCCCCAGGCGGAAAGTAAAATAGCCAGCAGCAAGAAATATAGTTATGAAATGAGGAATTTGCCTGCAAGAGCTTCCTGAGAAGGTTAGGAAGATGACAGGTAGCAAAAGCATGGGCGGATATTTTAAGCTGTGGAGACAAATGTTTTGTATCGTCTTTTCACATGCTCAGCTGGGAACATCGGCACTGACACATGGCCAGTCACATTTTCCAGAAGCATGGAATAAAAGAGACTCAGACATGTCTGAAAGTTCTAGGAGAAACCAAGGGCTCAGGCAAGAGGAAGTCCTCTCTGCTTGACAAAGCCAAGTCCTGTACCTGGGTCGGGCCAACTCCCGCTGTCAATACAGGCTGGGGGATGGAGGGATTGAGAACAGCCCTACCAAGAAGGACTTGGGGCTACTGGTGGATGAAAAGCTGGACATGAGCCAGCAATGTGCACTCGTAGCCCAGAAGGCCAACCATATCCTGAGCTGCATCAAAAGCAGCGTGGCCAGCAGGTCGAGGGAGGGGATTCTGCCCCTCTGCTCCGCTCTGGTGAGACCCCACCTGGAGTCCTGCATCCAGCTCTGGAGCCCCCAGCACAGGAAAGACATGGAGCTGTTGGAGCGGGTCCAGAGGAGGGCCACAAAGGTGATCAGAGGGATGGAGCAACCTCTCCTATAAGGAAAGGCTGGGAGAGTTGGGGCTCAGCCTCAAGAAGAGAAGGCTCTGTGGAGACCTTATTGCAGCCTTTCAATACTTAAAGGGGGCTTACAAGAAAGACGGGGACAAACTTCTTAGCAGGGCCTGTTGCAATCGAACAAGGGGTAACGGTTTTAAACTGAAAGAGGGTAGATTTTAGACTGGATATAAGGAAGAGATTTTTCACAATGACGGTGGTGAAATACTTGAACGGGTTGCCCAGAGAGGTGGTAGATGCCCCATCCCTGGAAGCATTCAAGGCCAGGCTGGACAGGGCTCTGAGCAACCTGATCGAGTTGAATATGTCACTGCTTATTGCAGGGGAGTTGAACTAGATGGGCTTTAAAGGCTGCTTCCAACCCAAGGTATTTTATGATTCTGTTCTG